TGCAGGACAGCTTCATCCGCGGCTACAAAGCCGACCCCGAGTTTCACGATAAGTACGTGAATTGCTCCTTGCCTAATCCGGTGCCCTCGCACTACCAGAACCAAGAGGGGTACTTGCTTGTCCACACGCAGGGGAAGGACCTTCTTTGCGTGCCGAGTGACTCTCACTTGCGTTCGCGGCTTCTTGGCGAGTTCCACGATGCTCCCGCCACCGGACACGTTGGAGTCAATCGAACGATCAGCCGACTTTGCGAGCGTTTTTGGTGACCCAGCCTTCTCGGCGACGTCACATGCTATTGCGAGTTATGCGAGGTTTACCGACACTACAAATCCCACAATCATCGTCCGTACGGCGAGTTGCGGCCATTACCGGTCCCCTTGCGCCGAAGGGAAGCGATTGCCATGGATATCATCGGGCCGTTCCCCAAGCACAAGACCGGTGTGGATGGGATTCTCATTGTGGTCGACCGACTCACCAAGTTTGTCATGTTTTTGCCTTGCCGCTATCATGCTAAGGCACCGGAGTTGGCCGAGATTCTTTATGCCTGTTTTTGCCTTGCCGCTATCATGCCAAGGCACCAGAGTTGGCCGAGATTCTTTACGTCGGTTGGAGTCGAACCAAGGGTTACCCCAAGGAAATCGTATGCGACCACGACACTCGGTTCATGTCCGATTTTTGGTTGGCACTCATCAAACGATGGGGCTCATCTCTCAAGCTAAGTTCGGCTCGCCACCCCCAAACCGATGGCCAAATGGAGAGGGCGCATCAGACCTGTCTCTTATACACATCTAGAGTCGAACCAAGGGTTACCCCAAGGAAATCGTATGCGACCACGACACTCGGTTCATGTCCGATTTTTGGTTGGCGCTCATCAAACGATGGGGCTCATCTCTCAAGCTAAGTTCGGCTCGCCACCCCCAAACCGATGGCCAAATGGAGAGGGCGCATCATACCACACATGTTCTCCTTTGCACCCTCATCCGTCCTGACCAAAAGGATTGGGTTGAGCGGCTGCCGGATGTCGAGTTGGCGTACAACTCGTCCATCCATCCGGCTATTGGGATGTCACCCTTTGAGTTCGAGCACGGCTCACCGGTCACCTCTCCGTTGGACACAATCATCCCACGGGCGACCGAGAGCGACGACCACCTTCTTTTCGTACGTCGGATGCAAGAGCTACTTGTCAAGGCACGCGACCAAATAGCAAAGGCGCAGCAACGCATGAGCCAGCAGGCAAATCGACAGCGTCTTCCTTGTCCCTTCTGCGCCGGCGACCTCGGGTCTCCGCCGCGGAATTCAGCCTTGAGCAAGATATCTCTCGTAAGCTCCTCCCGAAATGGATGGGGCCCTGACCGATCGTGGCACCCGCTAGGGATGCACCTGAAGGACCTTCATTTTTCATTCAGGTGCCCGCCCACTTGCCCGTCTACCCGGTCTTTCACTGTTCCAAGTTGGCCCTTTACACGCCAGCTGAATACGATGACTTCCCCGGGCGATGATCGCAAGACCCAGTGGCACCCTCTATGGACGGTTTTCAAGAGGTTGGCGGCATCATCTCCCTGCGACGCTACGGCAACAGGCCAACCGAATATTTGGTACATTTTGCATATTGCACCCATAAAGCTGACCGTTGGTTGACCCGTGCAGAACTCCAAGCAACAGCTCGGGATGTTCTCACACGCTACGAATGCAAGTTGCAAGGCAAGCCGGGATCTTCGGCTCCATGTCGCACCCGCGTCCAGGTTCCACCTTCAGATCGTCAGCTTCGCCCTCGACCCGGTTTGACTTCATAAGGAGGGGGGGGTGTTACATGCTGAGCCTGCACACGGGCCCCATTTGCAGGGCCCAACGGTTGTCGAGGGGCCCCCAGGCTGCACGCCATCCAGCGTGCACCCTGGATGCCCACGGCGGCCCTCTAGGCCGCAGGTATAAGGTGAGGCAGCACTCACTTATTTATTTATTTATTTCTTATTTCTGTGATGTACTGCCCTATTTTTGTCGGTTCAGGCACCGTTGCGGACTTGCAGCCCCAAGGCAGCACCTTGGGCCAGGTACACCAGAACGAGGCCCTCCCGGAGGCAGGCGCGTTTTGGCGCCTGACTGCTGGCCTACTTTCGTCGGTACAGATGACGTTTCGGACCTACAGGCCCCAAGGCAATACCTTGGGCTAGGTACACCGGGACCAGGCCTTTCTGAGGCCAGGCGCGTTTTCGCGCCTTGCTGCATCAGCAGCACGGTCTGGACACCCCGTAGGGGCCCAGACTGGCTGGGCCATTCTAGGCCACACAGCAGCCTACCCAGTAGGGCCCAGCGCAGTATATAGCTGGGCCTCAAGCTGGGTACTAGACAGTTTGGAAGCTCACTTCTTGAGCGACACGCTGCTGGTTGGAGGCTGCGCTACTTAGCGCTGTGCTGCTGAGCTAGGGAGGAGAAGCGCATGAGGTAGAGAGAGGGAGCGATGACTTACCTGCAGTGGCGAGCTTACCTGGCGCCATAGCTAGGGCTGCGCGGTACCTGCACAGGACGAACCACAGTTAGTACGGCAGTTACCGGTAGGTAAGACAGCGAGGAGGACAGCATCTTCCTCTTCCTCCTCGTCCTCCATCTCTTCTCTCTCCCTTCCTCCTTCCTCCATCCTTCTTCTTCTTCTTCTTTTTCTTCTTCAGATACGAGAGTGAAAGAGGTTACAAGCGGAGGATACAGGCAGAGGTTACAGTGGGCACTGCACCCAGGATCCGATTCGACATTTCTGAGGCAGACATTGATTGGACATCGGCACGGGACTATTTTTGGACTTCGCTATTGCGATCTGGGTTTCCTCCCTCGCCTCCAGTTTCATCTCTCCTCTTCCCCATCTCTCATCTGTGGTACCTCCCCATGTGCGTGTACAAGGAGGGACCTTTCTTCTTTGTGTGCGGTCTCTCCTCCTCCTCTCACATGTGTGATGTATGATGGGATGTCATGTCAGTCCCAGTCAGGTCAGGACTTATCTTTTTTTTTTTTCTTTTTTTTTTCAAAGCCCTTACGGCATCCCTCTATCCCGGCAGTGGTACGGGAACTGCCAGGATTGAGGGCTTGTCTATAGGGCTGCTCCATCTATTGGTGGGGAGCGCACCTGCTGGAAACCGGGTCCAGCGTCCCGTTGATACAACACATGACTCGTCCCTTGAGACCGTTTTTCCCTGGGGTTGTGGTTACTTATCTTGACTGTCCTGGGCTATATTGTCAGGTCAGGACTTATCTTAAAGTCTTCTATGTGCCACTTTGTATGTATCAGGGTGTACATTGCTTGTTGAGATTCAACTGACATTGCATTGTCCATTCAGTCCTTTTCATCACATTGCCGATCCTTGGCTCTACATACATTGCCCAACTGGGCATGTAATACGGTGTAGTTCACTGACCTCTTTTTATGGCTTAGAATACTATTCATCTTTTGGCAGCTCACCTACAGCAAGCCTCAGGGCGACTCCGAGGGTGTTTATGGCCCTCGCTCCGGTGGTCTGTGCACATGCACAAAGGACAAATATCATGGCGGTGTATCTTTCCATGTTCTAGCGGAGGATTCACTGTAGTTTCGCACATGGTGACTGGAACTCTGGAACTGTCTAATACAAATTTTTTTTTTTTTTTTTTTTTTTTTTTTCCCTGTTGGTTCAAAGATACTCGGCCTCCGACCTTTCAGGAGGCGGAAACGAAACCACGGCCGCTGATCAGATTTATCAACGGCAGCCGTTGTCCGGCTGGGCCTCCTGAAAGTTGGGGAGGTGGCAAGAACTTGTTGAAAATAGGCTCGGAGGTACTAGTGGTTTGAAGGTAAGCTATATTCTTCTCTCATCTATTTCATCTTTCCTGGTAGTAGGCATCTATCTCATCCTCTCACTAGAGGATGAGATATGATAATTTGTTGGAATTTCTAAGCTGCGCTATGCTGGACTTTGCATCTCTGGGGCGATGTCCCATTTCTCGAGGTTTTGTTCTGGTTTCGAGTGTACATGGCTCCTTGCCATCCGATCTGAAAATCTCACGGCCCTACTTTAGTGTGACCACGTTGGAAAATACACGAAACATAAACTAAAACCCCGCTCGTGGGTCACGGCCCCTGGTCTCCAGTGTGGACTTAGTGTGATCTAGCTATGTGTGTATGTGTGTGGTCTCCAGTGTGGACTTAGTGTGATCTAGCTATGTGTGTATGTGTGTGGTCTCCAGTGTGGACTTAGTGTGATCTACCGGTAGCTATGTGTGTATGTGTGTGCGACTTGTGATCTAGCAATGTGTGTATGTGTGCGCTCAAGGTGACGAGCAGTGAGGCTCAAAGCAAAGTGCGATTTCGAGGGAAAAAAAAGGGAGTATTCCTTTGAAAGTCTGCATCTGGACTTGTTGGAGGAAACGTGCATAATCATGGCAGTGTATCTTTCCATGGTCTGGCAGCAGAGTCACAGATTCACTATCGTTTTGCAATGGTCTGGCAGCAGATTCACAGATTAGATTCACTGTCGTTTTGCACATTTGTTTTGCACATTTGTTTTGCACATTTCGAGAGTAGTGGAGCCAGGCTCAATAAATGCACTTCCCCGTCCTTCGGGACATCCGTTAAAACTGGAACGATACCGAGAAGATTAGCGTGGCCCCTGCGCTTTCAAGGATGACACGCACAAAAAAAAAAAAAGCACTTTCCAGGATGACACGCACAAAAAAAAACCAGCACTTTCCCGCCTTCCACTGTCACACAGACTAGTAAACTATACTAGTATTGGATGGGTCCTTGGGGACATCCTTTAAAATTGGAATGATACAGAGAAAGAATATTAGCATGGCCCCTGCGCTTTCAAGGATGACACGCATAAATCGAGAAATATACTATTCGATGGCATGTGGGGCGAGGCTCCCGGTCGCAGACGGGATGGAAATCCGTAGATGGCGATGGCGATCGGCGGTCCCAAAAAAAATGGTGTTATTTCTAGACGGCTTGTCAGCTCGGGCGTCTGACGTTGCTACAGGCATGCAAAAGATGCTGCCGCTTTCCCCTCCCAGAACCCTCGCACAGGAAGGGGTGATTGGTTGGAACCTGATGACCGCCTGATGACCGCTCGCGACCGTCCCATCACTTGAGAGTTTTTCGTCTCAATCTATGTCTGAGTGCCATCTGACCATGGGTGCAAACCTTAGTTTGCCACGTGGCAAAGCAATCGTCCCGACCGGCGACCTGACGCAAGTTTAATTGGAACGAAAGACGCTTTCCTCTCCTGCCCCCGGCGCAATCAACCAGTCGGATACTCTGAGAATGATCTGTTGAAAGCAGGTGGTGGCAAGGCCTGTAGGAGGAGGAGGAGCGCGAGCAGGTAAATCATCATAAGAAGAGGGGTTAGGCTACTGTGGGTCGGGATGCTATCCCGAGACGAAAGATCTTGGCATCGCGGGAGGAAAGATCGTAGGGGCAGGAGATAGCGAGGACAGTTCCTGCATCTTGCTTCAACCAGGCGCAACGATCGGCTGTCTCTTATATGAGATAGATACATAGAGAGGTAGTGGAGTCGGGGCACATACACACGCACACACACGCACACACACACACAGAGAGAGAGAGAGAGAGAGAGAGAGAGAGAGAGAGAGAGAGAGAGAGAGAGAGAAGCTTTTTTTATTGTTGTCGACGGGATATGGCGAAGTTGAGGAAACCAAGATGGGTAGTGTTGGGGGTAACATGTGGCAACCGGAAGGCGGAGAAACAAGGGCATGGGCGTTCGGATAAGGACAAGGTAAAGGAGGAGGGAGGAGGAGGAGGAGGAGGAGGAGGAGGAGGTGGGGGAAACACGCGCGGGCTAGTAGGTGGCTGTAGCCCGCGTGTGAACGATAGCTCTGCAGCCATGGGGGGATTGTCGCCGTCTGTGAGCAGCCGAGACTCATCTGGGATGGTCATTGGTGGTAGCGGAGGAGATTGGAGGAGGAGGAGGTTCTCCGTATCGAGTGGTTTCGTCGGCCTCGAAGAACTCTCTGATTTGAGCAACTCATTCGCTGAGGTATGACCTTTCGCTGTCCGGCCTTCTCTCTCTTGTTCTCTCTCCCTCTCTTCAGTTTTCTTACTATTCAAATTCTTACTTCAATCTGTTCTCTTCTTCCCTCTTCGCCTCCATCCCTCTCTTTTTATTTTGTCGCCAGGCGTCTCCGCCTGTGCTATTCCAACCTCTTACTTGGATTTATGACCCATTCGTTTTTTCTTTCTGTTCCTTTTTTTTTCCCGCCTGTTTCGTAAAAGCTGTTCCCCCTGAGACGTCGTGCTTCTTCCTGCCAGGAGAAAATATCCGCCCCAATATCCACTGCGGCGCCCGCTAGAGAGAGAGAGAGAGAGAGAGAGAGAGAGAGAGAGAGAGAGAGAGAGAGAGAGAGAGAGAGAGAGAGAGGGAAAAAAGAAGAAAAAAGAAGGCAAGCAAGCCAGAAAGGGTCGAGAGATGCCAGACGTGTTGCCACTCTCTGTCCGTTCCTTCAGTCCTGGCGTTATTCGATTCTTTCTTTCCCTTTCGTTCTTCCATTTTTGTCTCTTTTGAATTTTAACTCCTTTCAAGTATGGTTATTGCTTTGTTCATAAGGGTTCATGGGTCGTTTTATGTTGCGTTGCGTCTGGATCCCGTTCCTACTCACGGCGAGCCGTTTCCTCCTCATGGCGGCCCGTCTGCGAAGCTATCAGAACGAAAGGTGGACTTGTGCATAAGTATTTTTTTTTGAGAGGATCAAAACTAATTAATGAAAGTGCGCGGTCTAAAATTTTTTTTTTTTTGAGAATCCTTCCAAGCACTTCAGCATTTAGGGAAGTGCGCAGTCTGGAAATCCTTTCCAATTTTTTTTTTTTTTTTTTTTTTTTTAAGTTACTCCTTCTTTTCCAATGATGGAAAGTTCGCTATACAAGGGCCACAGGGCTCTCTGGGTTCGTGACTAAATGCCTACCTTTTGTGACTTGACGGTTTTTAAATGCCTACCTTTTGTGACTGGACGGCTTTTAAATGCCTACCTTTTGTGACTGGATGGTTTTAAATGCCTACCTTTTGTGACTGGGCTATACGAGTTATACTATATCTGCGGTTTTTTTTTTGCACGTATGGGTACTGATATAGGAGTGCAGGTGTTGTAAATGCATTTTTGCATTGCCCAGCACTGCCGCTGCCAATGGGGAGCACTCCTTTAAGTAATAATGAGATGTTCTTAAGGAAAAGGTCACAATGAGAACAACAATCCGTGACATGATGGGCGCGTGTCTGGGGATAAGAGAGAGATGGGCGCGTGTCTGAGGATAAGAGAGAGGAGGAGGAGGTGGGAGAGATGCTGACATAAGGGTGCGACGTGGGGAATGAAGAAGTGAGGGGTTCCCACTGAGAGGGACAAGGAGGGAGTGGTTGAGGGAAGGGCATTGAGAGGGACTATTTGCTGCTGCTGCTGCTGCTGATGATGATGATGATGATGATGATGGAGATGATGATGGTGTTGATGAGGACCATGATGATGACGATGGTGGACTAAAAGCACTATCTTTCAAATTGTCTACATGATGATGACGATGCTGAATTGGGAGCAGGAGACGTGTTTGAGAAAGGAGAGGGCGCAGAAGAGGCGGGAAAATGAGAACGAAAGGAAAAATTTGGCGAAGAAGAAGTGCTGTAGAGTATTGGTGTTGAACAGTTGTGATGACTTTGAATCTCCTCTCATCCATTTTTACTCGCAGGCGTTCGTCTTCACAATCTCTGTGTCTTTTCTCAGGCAACTATCTATGTCGTAAGTGGAAAAGCAATGGTAGTAGAGGGAGGGCATTGCAATCCACAAAAAAAAGACACTGAAAACAGTGTAAAACAGTGAAATAGAGTGAAAAGCGGTGAATAACAGCAAAAAAAAAAAAGAAAGGGTGAAATCAGTGGAAAATAGTGATGAGAGAGGGCAAACGGCAGGAATGCTGAATGATATGGAGTATCAGAAGAAAACAGCAAAAAAAGAGGAAGACAGCAGACACAAGCTAAAGAGAAAGAGGCGTGTAGAGAGGAAGGTGGGCGGTGGAGAGAAGGAGGCGGTGGACGTAGGGAGAGGCATTGAGAAGGGAGGGTTGAAAAACAGAGATTAATGAGGGTTATAAAAGGAAGCAGGGGGTGGATGAGGTCTTTGAGGAGGGAAGGAGGAGGAAGGGGGGATGAGGGCGTGGGGAGAAAAGAGGGTGAGAAAGGCGAGAGCAAGAAAGAGTAACGAGGAAAGAAAATGCGGATGGAGAGGCGGATGGAGAGGCGGATGGAGAGTTTGAGAGGGAGGAAGAATGAGGAGAGAGAGAGTAGGACAATTGACAAGATGCAGAAGAGGAAGGAAAGAAAAGAGGGGAGGGGCAAGGAGAAATGACGGCAAGGAGAGAGCGAAGAAGAAAGAGGAGTGGGAACGGACGGAGGATGTGTGGGTAGGTAGGAGGATTGAAGGGAATAATGAGGAGACAAAGGAGAAGAACGAGGAGGAAGAGGAGAGGGAAAAAAAGAGAGGAGGATGTGTGGGAGGAGGATTGCCGGGAAGAATACGGAGGAGATGAAGAAGAAGAACAAGCAGGAGGCGGAGGAGGAGGAGGAGGAGGAGAGGAATGGTGGAAGCAGAAGGAGAGGAAGGGGAAGGTCAGGTGAAACAGGAGACGAAAACGAAGTCGACAGCATTTGAATCCACGTGCTCAAAGTCGCAAATGGTAACTATAATTAGGCTCGGGGTCCAGGCTCGGGGTCCAGGCTCGGGGTTCAGGCTTGGCCTTCATCTCTTCTTGTTGTGACGAATGGTCGGATGCAGAGAGGTTCCACTTCCTTCCCCCCCCCCCCCCCCCACCCACCCCTTCCCCTCTCTTCGTTAAATGAATGCTGACTCTATGGATTCTGGCTCCTTCGTTTTTTTGGCTTTGTCATCTTTTTTCTGTTTTTGAAACTTTTTCTTCTTGACCAGGTTCATTTGCTGGTACATCCAACAGTAGAAGAGCTCAGCCAGAAGATGGAAGCTTTGAGACCGAATCTGGTTTACTTCTTTGCCGAGCTATCGAGTGCGACTAAGCGCGATCTGGGCACCTTGAGCTTCTCCGACGGGAAGACGATCCCTGTGGACATGTTCGCTTCCTTGTTCCATGGCAGCCAACCCGAATTGGTGAGGCTTCCCCCCCCCCGTCCCCCCCCCTCCGTCCCCCCCCGCCCCCCCTTTGATTTAATGGCCCTAAGGATCATGGATGAGATATGAAACCTGTCTCT